GTGTGTTTCTACATCCGGCACCTCTGTGGCCTCCTTGTTGGACAGCAGGAATCTGGAGGTTGGGAACCGAAGGCGGAGCCGGGCCACCCTCACCTTGAACCCCCACAGCCACCATCCAGCGAAGCCAGAATGTTCTCTGACTCTTGTTAAGAAGGGATGGGGGGTGGGGGCAGTCACACTGCGGACAGTGGAGGCTTTACTTGTAGGTGCGCTGGGAAACCCCGAGTCCGTGCCAATGGTGGACTCTGAAAGGCCAGCCACTGAGACCCCTGGAGAGCAGCTCCCCTCCAATGCCCACAGGGCGGCCGGCCGGATCACGCCTCTGGTGATTTCTCCAATCGCATTCGTGATCAACCTCGTGCCCCGAAGATCTGGGCGTGGTGAACGAAACACCCAGGAGAGGGCACTTTCACCCTTCGTGCCCGGGCGACGGGCTGTCACCAACTTGACCGCACCTCATAACGGCGATGACCTCACGCGCATGGTCACCACTCTCCACTTCCATTGGCTGTATCACCTTTAACCAAAACCCTGTCTCCTCCACCCCCAGGAAAGACCCCTCCCCGCTTACAAGTGTGGGGACACCAGTCTTTAATAAATGCCAAGGAAGACCCGCCTTGTCTGCCTTGGGCACTGCGCTCTTTCTCTTTCACTCAGGGGTTAAGGTGACCATGGAAACTCATTGGACAGGAAGCTCGGGCAGGAGCTCAGGTCAGTGGGGGAGGAACAGCTCGGACAGGTGGGTGTGGGTGGTCGGTCACCATGCAGAACAGCAACCAGTGGCATCGCTGAATGGCACACATACTCAACAGTCCCATGGGTGCCCGTTCTCCTGTTGTCTGCTCTCCACAATGCCCACAGCAGAAGAAATGGTTTGCAAAAGGAAGATTGGGTTCTCCGGCAACTGCAGAAGCAAGGTTCCAGTTTTCCACTTTGTGTGGGCTATTCAACGGGTGGGCTTTCTGTTCAAGCCCTTCCTGCAGCTGCCCGGCTCTGCAGCTTCGGCAGGGATGTCGAAGAAAGAGCCAGTCTCTGGAGACATGGGGCGTGCGTGCCACCCCTCTCGGGTTTTGCCAGCCCCCCGGTCCTCACAAATGCCCACTGTGGCCCACTGCAAAGGGGCCCCCAGGACAGAGGCGGGTCTGTGCCCTCTGGCACCCGGCAGGGAGCCAGTGAATTGCTGTGCTTGTGCGTCCACACTGAGGCCCCTGTTCGCACTCTTTATGGAAATGAACACAGCTGTCCTAAAGCGTTGCGACAAACGAGCAGGAGGCGGTGGTGGGAGGTAAACGGAGCGAAGCGAGGGTCCCACGCTCCTGGAGGAACCAAACACGCTGACTTGCTTAGAGGCGTTCTGTGGGGTCCCAGCTGATGCTGGTGCCCGCTGCCGGCCAGCCAGCTCTGCATTCGGGGCGGCCGCAGTCATCGGGGGACTAAGCGCTGCAGGGATGGAATCACGCTGGGCCGTTGGGATCCACAGGTCCTGACGAGCTGATAACGGCAAGACGCCGAGGCCCTTTGCCTCGTCTGCCTTAGTGGGGAAGCTCTGCTGAAACCCATCCGGCGACAGGCTCCTCTCTGCTGACCGACAGGCGGCGGTTGTGCACGAGGCTCGCTGGCGGGGGGCAGAAGCCTCGTCTTCTGCATAGCAGGCGAGAACTCAGCCAGGGGAATGGGAGGATTAATGAGAAGATCAGGTCCCAAGAATGCCAGCAAAGGTTAGGTACCCACACCCCAACACCAGCAGGAGAAAAGACAGAATGGAAGCCTCTTCATGAACACAGCACACTTCTAAGCCATGGGCACCAGGCACCATGGTGAACGCACGCCTGACGGCCCGTCCTGCTCCTGCCCCATCTGAGCACTGAGGGGAAAGAGCACACAGACGGAGCGGCATGCAGGACAGATCAGGGGTTCTGGATAGGAGGTCCTCTGAAACCCTCCATCCGTGGGCTCGCTTCCTGCGGCCAACTTGGACAGGTCGTCCCATTTCCGGGCTCACAGCCGGTGGTGGGGTTCAGCTGGTTCTCATGGGTTCAGCAGAACCCATACCTAGAGTTTTGTTGAGTCTGGCGAGCGGGCTGTTACAGTAGCACTTGTCTTCGGTTCTCTCTGAGGTGGGAATCACAGGTTGACACTCCTTACTCTTGATCAGCGTTTTCCAAGCACCTGCGGTACGGGTCATTCTGTCCACCAGGTGTGAAAAACCAGACGGAACAATGCTTGTTGCACTTACTGAGTCATTTCACAAAAGTAATTATACTTTTGGTGAAATACTACGTTTTTCTTCCCTTGGGCTTGTCACATCAGTAAACGTAACATAAAGAGTACCGAACGACCAGAGGTTGACAGGCTGCCCTTTGTTTCGGCTTCTTGTTATGCTCCAAATGTCCACAAGAGATGATGAGTGAATCACGCGATTCCTGAAAATGTTCAAAGAGCTAAAAACACTGTCCTAACGATCGCTGTTAAGTTCAGCACAAGTGGAAAGGGGCTTTCCAAAGATGAACACGGTATGTTCAGAGAAGAGTAGTCGCCTGCTTCTAACCTATTAGACACAATGGCTGTTGTCTAATTGGCCTGCCTCTTAAGGAGTGGAATCCTACGCCTACGGTGGAAAGATGGTGACGGATAAACCACACAGCCCATGATGCACGGACAGAAGCGAGGACTATTGCAAGTGAGGCTGCCAACCAGCAGCACTATAGAAATACCTTAGATCATAGTTGTATTGTTTCAGGTCAGGTAGTATTTAGCATTTTCTCATTCATATTTTAAAGCTCTTATAACGATCTACTTCTTGTCCTCTTTGAACATTCCCACGTAAGTGTTAACTGTATGAAACAACAAACTACGGTTTGGTACACGTTTCCATACTGTGAAAGGGTCATCAGGGCAGCGAACTGGTGGTTCAGTTGTTTGAATCCCACGTTAAAAACACCCACGGACACCACGCGGATCTGGCGATGGGAAGAGGGGAGTGACTGGGGCCAAAGTCTGAGCCTTACCTGCTGGAAGCAGGCTTGCACGAGGTTCTCCGGGAACATGTTCCTGAGGGAGACAGGAGAGGGGGCATTACGTCAGGGCAGCAGGGGTTTGTCCTCACACCCAGGACACCCATGGAACAGTGGACAACTCAGAAGTGGGAGTCTGCGCTTTCTCCGGCGTCTCCACGGCCCAACCCTTGCCTAGGTGAAGAGTTCCTTGTTCCTGCCGGACGTCAACCCAGGGCAGGAAGCCCTCCACGAGCCAGCCCTCGCCGAACCGGCTCACAGAGTCCCGGAGCACCAATGGATGGCTTTCCCGGTGAGTCACCTCGCTCTCAGCCGGGAGCCGGCGCTTCCAGATCTGACACCTTTGTTTTTGTGCATGAGGACGTGTGTTTACTGAGCCCCAGGCATTCTTTATGACTATGGGACACACCCATGTTGGACAGGTCGTCAGGAGAGACCGGCCCCTGGAGAAGGACATCTGCTTGGTAAAGCAGCGGGGCAGCGTGGAAGCTGGATGGGGATGGACGCGGTGGCTGCATCAACAGGCTCAAACAGAAGCCTGGTTGTGGTGGCACAGAATGGAGCAGTGCTTTGTTCCGTTGCACACAGGGTCTCCATGAGTCGAGTCGACAACAACAACATCAACATGAAATCCGAGGGTGCAGGGGGACCCGGGGCATCTATGACACCTAGGCTGGGTGACGAGAGTCCCTTCCATAAAGACAAGCAGCTTGCACCTGTGCTGTGAAGTCTGGGAAGACGACTGAAATCAAAACAAACAAAACCCGTGACCACCCCAAATTGGGAGGCGGTGGCACGTGGATCGTTTTGTGGTTTCTGAGTTTTCCTGGCTCCGCTCTGTGGACACAGAAACTGCACACTGTCGGGAATGATCTAAGGGCGGTCTATGCAAGGAAAGCGATGGAACATTTTTATCAATTGACCTATCCTAGAACCAAAACCAATCGTGCTGCAAATGAGCTGATTCCCAGTCATCAACACCCTACCATTTGGTTTCCGGGGCTAGGACTCCTTACAGGAGCAGCCAGCCTCATCTCCCTTCCAAAGAGTGACTGGTGGGCTTCAAACACCAACCTTGTGGTTAGCAGTCCAACACCGAGCTGGCAGCGCCACCAGGACTCCCTGTCGACTGAATAAAAACCAAACCAAACCCGAGTCTGACTCACCTGGCCGCTCTGCTCAGTCCACTCACCTGATCAGGTCCAACATGGCGTCTACCGTGCTGACATCGGGGGTGCTGCCCACCCTGTCAATTTCATCCACTTTCTGGGTGACACCGGGCTTGATGGTCACCACCAGCACAATTCCTGTGGACAGAGGAGTCCGAAGGGCATTAAGAACCTTCCAGAGCCCCGGCCCCTCCCTGTCAGATCCAGCAGGCATGGAAGGGCCAGGCACACTGAGGCAAGAAGCTGTGGCCCAGCTAGACCTCAGTGGTGGTCTGGATCATCTTTGGCATTTGTAAAAAGAAATTGTTTGTGGTTTTAAGTGAAGGGACTGCATCCCAGAAGCGCTTCCAGAAACACCTGATAACCTACTATTCTCGTCTCTCCTGCAGCGGATGAGACCAGCCTGGGCAGGGGTTGGGATAAGAGAGATTCATTTTCCCACCCAGGGAACTAGTTCAGTCTGTAATGTTTGCCCACCACACCTGAAACAAACAAACAAACAATCAAACACACCCATCACCCAAACTCACTGCCATGCAGCCCATCTGAAGCCACACCCGGGGCGCGACCCTCAACCTTATCAAGTTATTTGAGCAAAACCACCAGGATCATCTGAGGCAAGTCCTCCCTCCCCCCTCGTCCCAGGCGCCCTTCAAAAGCCACAAAGGCCGGGGCAAGCATGTCACAAAGGAGCGCCATCGGGTCAAGAAGGGCGCTATCCTCTGCCTGGAACGCTCTCCTGTTCCCACGTGGCAAAGGTTCTGCTGACTCCCAGTGACATGTGACACGTCAAGGACACAAACATGCTGGGGAAACATGTTCCCCCGAGACGCAGACGCAGACGCAGACAGGCCGAAGATCTAGCTCAGTGCTCCTCGTGTGAGCGCTGGGCGTTGCTCCCTTCCACCCACTGACGCTGATGGGCAGAGACGTGTCACCCTCTTCCCGTGTCTTGCCAGGGACGGGGCAATTTCAGCCAGGACTCCACATGCTCACACAGAAGGTGCTGGTGCCCATCCAGCTGAACAGCTTCGTGCCGTTTCATGATCACCCCCCTGCATCCAAAGGCCCCGCGGGTGTTTGAGGACCGGGTGGGGTGGGTGGGTGGGGGTGAGGATTACCTAGGATGACGGCAATGAGGGTGGTGCTGAAGTAATACACGACGGCCCGCAGGCCGATCTTCCCAGAGATGCTGGAGTCCAGGGCCGCAACGCCTGAAAGGGAAAGGGGCGAGAGGGGTTCATTCCCGACAATCTACCCGCACCACATGGGACTCGCTCCCCAGGCACAGCGGGGCAAGCTGAGAGCCGTTTGCTGTGCCCACGAGGCCCCAGTTTCTTGGGGTTTGGGAGGGTAAGAGGGAAGGAGAGAGATGAAAACAGTGTGGCGCTTCTTTACACACATGCAAATACAAGTACCTATGACCCTGCCGTGGCTCTACGCGGCACAGACCCCAGAGGAACGAAGACCGAGATACCAACAGACATGCTCACGCCCATCAGAAACTCCATTTTACTATGCATCCGTAAAACTAAAACAAACAAAACCCCAAACAAGGCTGAGTCTGACAGACGGAATCAGAGGACATTACACTCAGTAAAGTTAGTCTCATGGAGATAAATCTGTCATGACACCATTGTCATAAAGGAAGGAAGAGCTAATGACGGTTTCCACCCCAGAGGAAAAGACCCTGACAGCTATGAGGAGGCCAGAGGTGGGGGCAAGGGGAGCGAGAAGGGGCAAGGCAGTGGAACAAGAGAAAGAGCCACATCCACGAGGTGTTTACTGGGACACTGTCAGTGATTTGACAAGATGGACTGTCCGATTACATATCTTTCTCAGTATGTGTATATTCCACACAAAAAAGGAAATCATTCTGACACGTAAGTGAAGATTCTCCCTGCCGACCCACAGCCACCCCGTGGTGCAGAGAACCGGCCCTGTGAGATTCTGGACTGTCACTCTTTGTCGGAACAGGTGCGGGTGGTGGTTTCGAACTGCTGACCTTGCAGTTAGCAGCATAGCTTGTAACCACGACGCTACCAGGGCTCCTCAAACAACAACAGAAAATTACATGCAAAAGAAAAAAATCACAGCCTTCAATACCCTGCAGACTCCTTGCCCATCAGATCTAAACCCCGGTCCAGGTGGTTGTATAAGGAGGAAAAGCAAATGGACACGACTTCAGTTCTTTGGTGACTCGCAGAGACAATGGGAGAAGCAAGCACTAGAATTCCCAAGTGGGGACTCTGGAGAAAGCAGTTGGGCGGGGCTCTGAGGCCCGGGCTTTTCTCAGGGGTGACAGAGACCAGCAGCCGCCCCTTCTGCAGCTGCTCTTCAAACATCACTCAGCCATTAGGAGAGCCCACCTGGAACCGGCATGAAGTTTACCTCCACGAGCTACCAACACTGTCCTTCGGCGACAGGAGAACCATGTGCCCCGCGATAGTTCCCTTTTTGCCGTTTCTGCCAGGAAGCTCAGGAACCAAGCCCCTGCCACGGAGTCAATTCAGACTCAACCGTGACCCTGCAGGGCGGAGCAGAACTAACGGCTCCTGAGGGTTTCCAAGGCTGTACATCTCTGTGGCCGCAGGTGGCCTATCTCTATCCCTCGCGCAGCTGGCTGGTAGAGTTGAATGGGCATTGCTGAAGACCTGGAGGCCACATTTAAATCACTGAAAAGGCCCTCTTGTACCACAGTGAGGGGAGATCAGCACCCCAGACTCCTGTCCCCAGTGACCTACTAATCCGACTTAAAGAGACGCTCCGGGGGCTGGGTCTTGTTCTAAACCGGGGGACTCCGGTGTCGACATTGCTGCTTGCTCTTTCTTTTGGAGACGTTAAGTCTCTAAAGAGGAAAGGCCCCTCTTGGATGTTTGTGGCTCTTGTCCCTTGCATGATTGTTATTTTTTAACTTGTCGCCATGGAGCTAAGAAGGTGTTCTCAGCACACACAATGGCATCTTTTCCCACAGCAAGAGGCCAGACTCTCATCAGCAAGGCTGTTGCAGCACGCCCATCAAATGGCCATCGCCCGGCCTTGTCTGGAGGTCGGGGAACTGTCTTGACCACATCCGGGGGTTACTATGAGGGAGACCAGAGCTCCATCTCTGAAAGAACAGCTTCCACCGAGCGGTCAGCAGACGGAGGGCGGGAGTGGTTGGAGTGAGGAGACTGGGCCGATCACCATGACATCATAGCTTCCTCCGGAGAGTCTCCTGGGCTCACGTGGGTACAGTCCAAGGTGAGGGCCGGGATCTCCCCGTTGCTTTTGTGGGTGATGTAACCGCTGCCTGTGCCTGCGCATGGCAGACCCCTGGGCAAGGAAGGCTTGCTACCGCGCATCCCGCCCTGCAATCAGGCCTTACCCACAGTGCTGTGTGGACCACCCACCTCGGCCACTACATCATATCATCGTGGACCAGAACCAGGGACCGCATTCTCAAACTGGACTTCAAGTCAAAAGGACACTCTCTCCCTGGAGATCAGACCACTCGCTAACAGATGACCTGGCTGCCTCACCTGGTCCCTGGCCTGGTGGTTGGGTGCCATCAGCGACCCTGTGTGCAAGAGCGAAACCCTGCCGGCCCTGCGTCACCCTCACGCCGGTTACGTCTCAGCCCATCGTTGCAGCCACTGGGTCCATCGCCTGGTTCTTCGCTGCCCCTCCACTTGAACAAGCATGATGTCCTCATCCAGGGACTGGTCTCTCCAGACGTGTCTGAAGGACGTGAGACGAAAGTTTGCCATCCTGGCCTCTAAGGGGCATGCTGGCCGGACTGCGGCCAAGGTGGGTTTGCCTGCACTTTCAGCAGTCCATGGCACTTCCATATTCTTTACCAGCACCCTGGCCGTCAGAGCGCAGCCTCGCTCGACTCCAGCTACTGGAGTGGTTGTGTTGGGGTAAGGGTTTTTACCCAGGAGGAACCTGCACCTTGCACCTCTGACTCAACTCTCTGGCTTTCCAGAGAACCCTGCCATGTCGAGACAACACCTGGCTATTTTATCAGCATCAAGTGAAGCAAGACCTATCACAGTGGCCATTGTTGCAGTCTCCAGACCCAGATTCATAGCAACTCCTGGCCAAGGGGATCACACCCGGCTGATCCGTAGAGCACATTGGCTGGTTTTCAAGGGGATCACACCCAGGCTGATCCGTGGGCACACTGGCTGGTTTTCAAGGGGATCACACCCCGGCTGATCCGTGGGCACATTGGCTGGTTTTCAAGGGGATCCCAGACCGGCTGATCCGTAGAGCACACTGGCTGGTTTTCAAAAGCAGGCCCCCAGGCTTCTCTTGTTTAGCTTCACAGACCCTATGAGCCCCCACCGACAGACAGGAGAATCTATGCTCGAGGTGCATTTGCCCAGAATCGGAACCAGGCCACTCACATGCAAGGTGGGAGTTCTACCCCTGGACCGCTACAGCCTTCCTAAGTCTTTGAACTCACCCTGTCCCTCAGAGGTGACTTAGAGCCCCCTTTCCACGGCAGTCTGAAGGTGTCCTTCAGCAGAAGCCCCAGGCAGTGCTGTTCACGAGAACTTGAACACCGTGAGGAGGAACGTTATGATGCTGCCCAGGACGGGGAGCGCAATTAGTGTGACTGATCATTGAACTTGGCCCTGAGACTCGTTAGAGATCCAGCCATAAGTGAGCAACTAAATACACTGTGGTACAGCCACAGGGCTGGAGACTATGGAGCCGTTCGATTTATTCTCGGGGTGAATTTTTAATGATGAGAGAAATGCTTATAAGATCGTATTATGACGAGAGAGCTAAGATGATCTTAGCTTGTCGACAAAAAGTGGAGAGAAAAATATCAGAAGACAATCCACCAGATGAAGAGCAGCTGACAAGGTGCAACGGTTTGTTTTGTCTTCACCTGGCCCCCGTTCTCCGCAGATACCTGTAGAGAGCATGCACTGCTTTTATAAACACACACGAGTCCCTTAAACATTTTATCTTCACTTGGCTCTCCATGGGTGAAGCATTGAACTGCTAGGCCTGTGGGATTGTCTACAACATTTCTCGCTGTGCTATTGGTAGGTGCCACTGAATTGGTTCCGACCCACAGCGACCATCTGCACAAGGGAAGGAGGCCCCGCCTGGTCCCGCACTGCCCTCACAATTGTTCCTGGGCTTCAGCCCACTGCTGCAGCCACTGTGTCCGTCCATCTCGCTGAAGACCTTGCTCTTTTTTGCTGCCCTCTACTTTACCAAACACGGCGATCTTCTCTAGGATGGGTCTCTTCTGATCACACGTCCCAGGATACGTAAGAAGTCTTGCCATCCTTGCTTCTAAGGAGCTTATTCCATTCTTTCCATCCATCCATCCATCTAAGCTTATTCCATTTTAAAGCCGAGAACAATGTTGGAGCACAATGGTAATAGTTAATAATAATAATAGTACTAATGGTGATTGTTAGCTAGCGGTAGACAGATTCAAAATCACAGCGGGCGACCTTACATACCACAGGACAACATGCTGCCCAGTGTCGCTGCTGCTGTGTTCCTGGCCACCATCTCGATCCATCTCACTGGCGACCTCTCAGCCCTGGCTGGCTGGCGACGTCCACCCCGAGTGGCCTCCTATAGACACCGACCGCTCTGGATGACGTGTCTAAAGCAAACGCGCCCGACAACGCTCTGCTGTGATCCAGTCTGCACTGGCTAATGTAGATCACCAGGCCTTTCTTCCTGATCTTAGTTTGCAAGCCTCACTGAAACCTGTGTGTGACCCTACTGGCATACGAAGTACCGGTGGTTTGACGTCCAGCTTCATAGTCACATGCAAGCTACTGTCACAGGGGTGGCGTATCATAATGGCAGGTGAAAACAAACAAGTAAACAAAAACAGGACCAGAAAACCACCAATTTGGCAGAGTTCTGAGTAACAGGCGCAGCACCTGCAGCCCTGACCTAACAGTGACTGTCTGCCCAGAGGGGTCTTTCCACAGTTGATGTCCGTTGTGAGCAGGTCCCACCCCTCTGGGCAGCCAGGTGCCAGGCTCACGGCTGGCCAAAGAACTGCCCTCGCTGTGTGGTTCCACACAGCTTAGAATTTCCTTCCAGCAGTGAAGCTAATTAAAGCTAGGTGGAGAACTGTTTCCAGAATATGCTAATACATCTCAATTTGTCTTCGTGATTTGGCCAGGGGCTGCTGGCTGTGCTGTTACTCCAGAACCCAGCTGGCTATAAAATGCTTCATGATAATCAGATTCTTGGTGTAAATTTCTTAAACAAATCTGCCCCAGAAGGAGTCAGCCAGCACCTCTCGGCTCGCAGGCAGGGGGTTGACGTGGAAGCTCCGCTCTGTCCCACGGGATTCCTGGAGATGGCATGAGCTGACTCATCCCAGCAACAGTGCTTCCCCACACACCCACAGCCTCTAAGACAGTGATTCTCAGCCTGGGGTTGAACGGCCCTTTCACAGGGTCGTCCGATTCATCACAGTAGCAAAATGACAGTGATGAAGTAGTAACGAAAACAATGTTGTTTGGGGGTCACCACAACATGAGATACTATTAAAGGGTCACGGCATGAGGAAGGCTGAGAACCACTGCTCTAGGACTACATCAAATACTTTGTAGGGGAGAGCTAGTCGGGCAACGCTGCTCTCAGGTGCTCGGTCAACACGGGGGATGCACCGCGTCCCTGGGATCAGGTGGTGCTGAGCTGGCAGGGGCAGAGCTGGGGCCCAGGAAACCCGCAGAGGCAAAGCGAGGGGCACTGACCAGAACCCATCCACGGCCCCCTTCTTTTCCAACCAACCAAAGGAGCAGACAACCCTCCCCCATCCTTCTTACTGATGTTTAAAATAACGTGTTTACTCTGAAAACGAGAAGTGGAAAGAATCAGGTTATCTTACCATCCAGGCACGGCCACTGTTGACCTATTGGCTTTGACCCGAGTGTTAATACGGTGTACACTTATTCATAAAGCCGGGGCTGTGCACACCCCGAGTGTATGTGTGTGTGAAGTTACCTGTAGTGTCAATTGCGTTCTGTGCTCACTTGATGCTGGTTCTTTCTCCTACACGCAGGCACGCACACATGCACACACGCACACACATGCACACACGCACGCACATGCACACACAGAAGGGAGGGGAAGGGGAGAGCGAGCAGAACGAGGTGGAGGGGAGGGGAGCGGATGGCGTGGGAGAGAGAGGGAGGAGGGAGAGGAAGACATCAGTGCATTTAAATTTTCTGCACATTGAGACAGGTACACTTTATGCAAAGGCACCTTACACAGTCTTGGGAGAACATCAGTTTCTCCGGATACCTGTAATCATGCTGGATATAATTAGTGGCAAGATGACGAGCTTCAGCATCCTCATGAGAATTTCCCCAGGAAAAGCGAAGTAGAATTTCTCCAGGCTCGAGAGCTGGCTGTACTCGCGCACCAAGACTCCCACGGTAATCCCTAAGGGAGACAGGGAGGGGGGAGGAAAAGAGCGTGGCTGAGTTCTGTCGGAAACCACATTTGAACCCCCAGGAAAGCGCTTGAGATCACTTCCAAGAGCACAGCATTAGACGGAAACCCTCCCAGCCCTGAATGGTGACGACTATAAGTACGAATTATTTTAAGGCTCTGTTGCTGTTGTTGAATTCAGTGCAGCTGTTGTTGCTTTGTACTCCCTCAGTGGGTTTATCATCAGGATGACACACACATCAACGACACCGAGCTCCCTGTCACCGAGCAGACGCAGACTCACAGCAAGCCTACAGGACGGGACAGAGCTGCTGCTGCGAGTTTCCAAGGCCGACTCCTCATGGGAGCAGAGAGCCCCACCTTTCTCCCGCAGAACACCTGATGGTTCCAAACGGCTTGCAGTCAGCAGCCCGACGTGTAACCACCAGGACTCCCCACACACATACGTGTACGAAGAACATGAGACTCACACGCACACCTCACATACAAATGCAGATGAATGTCTACTGTGGCGCTATTCACCAAAGCTGAAAGGTGGAAGCGACTTAAGTGTCCAACAGGAACGGGCAAATGAAACGTGAAACCAGGCTGCAAACGTGGTGGCAGCTGAGTGGATTCAGACTAATAGCAACCCTGCAGGCTAGACCAGAACTGTCCCACAGGGTTTCCACGGCTGCATGTCTATTTAAACAGACTGGTACGTCTTTCTCCCGTGGAGTGGCTGCTGGGATTGAACGGACCACATTTTAGCCAGCTGTCAAGCACTTAAACCACCATGCCACTGGGATGCCTTAAAGTACGGTATGCATATCCGATGTTACTCAGCCATCAAGAGAAACATAGGTTGGATACACACTACAATATGAGTCTTGGAAACAGGTCATGAAGTAAAAACTAAACTGCAAAGGGAGAAAAACTGTGGTCCCACTTCTCTGAAACAGCACGTAGACAGAGATCAAAGCTCTTTTGAGATCGGCAGGAGTAGGGGACGGGGCAAGAGAAGGCTTTGCTTAAGGGGCACTCAAACTCACTGTCATTGAGCTGATTCCAACCCACAGCCACCCGCGAAGGGTGGGGCAGAACTGGCTCTTTGGATTTCTGAGACTAACTCTTGACAGGAGCAGACAGCCTCCACTCTCCTGCGAAGAGGGAGGTGTTTCAAAGTGCTGATGTTTAGGAACTAGAGTAAGGTTGTATTTTTCATCATTGCTACATCACACCCTGACTGGCTCGTCTCCTCCCCGAGACCCCTCTGCAAGGGGATCTCCAGTCATGATGCGAATTCTGCCTTGAAGTCTGGCTAGACCAGAGATGTACTCTGGTACAGATAGGAACTGGAAACACAGGGAATCCAGGGTGGATGAGCCCTTCAGGACCAGTGGTGTGAATGGCGATACTGGGAGGGTGGAGGGAGAGTGGGTTGGAAAGAGGGAACCTATTATAAGGATCAACATGTGACCTCCTCCCTGGGGGACGGACAACAGATAAGTGGGTGAGGGGAGACGTCAGACAGGGCAAGATATAACAAAATAATAATTTATAAACTATCAAGGGTTCATGAGGGAGGAGGGAGGAGGGAGTGGGGAGGGAGGGAAAAATGAGGACCTGATGCCGGGGGCTTAAGTGGAGAGGAAATATTTTGAGAATGATGAGGGCAATGAACGTACAAATGTGCTTTGCTTAATTGATGTATGTATGGATTGTGAAGGGAGTTGTGTGAGCCCCTAATAAAATGATTAAAAAAAGAAAAAGAAAAAAACCCAAAAACCAACAAAGTGCTGATGTTGCAGTTGGCAACCCGACTCATCACCACTGGGCTTGTTCTTGAAGCCCAGGTGGCAGAGCGGGCTGGACACTGACCTGCTTGAACCCACAGTCACTCCTCGGGACAAGGACGAGGTTGTCGCCTCCTGAAAAGATCTCCAGTGTCAGATCCACAAGGGCAGCTCTACAGATGGGCTCTGGGCCTCTAAGCATGTCCTCCCGCAACACGAGAACACTTTGTTCTCATAACCTGGCATTCCATGATGCTCACCTTCCCGACACAATCGCTGGAGACAAAATGGGTGTGTAAGCAAACGTGAAGAAAACTGATGGTGCCTGGCTATATAGCTCCTGAGGTCTTAAAGGCTTGAAGATAAACAAGCGGCCATCTAGCAGGGAAGCAACAAAACCCACGGGGAAGAAGCACACCAGCCTGTGTGATCATGAGGTGTCAACAAGATGCAGGTATCAAAAGATCCAAAACAAACAATTAACAATTATATTGATGCAAACGAAAGGGGGCGTGGAGCCCCAGAGCCCATCTGTAAACAATTAGACATCCTTTACAAAAGGGTCACAAAGAAGGGATGAGTCAGCCAGGGTGCAGTATAGCACCTATGAAACTTACAACATTCCTCTTGTTCTTGAATGCTTTTGCCACCCCCACTACCATGACCTTAGTTCTACCTCATGAACCGTGCTAGACCAGAGTACGTACACTGTACAGAGAAGAGCCCTAGACACACAGAATCCAGGACAGATAAACCCCTCACAAGCAGTGGTGGGAGTAGTGACAACATGAGGGAAGGGGAGGGTGGGGGGGAAGGAGGAACTGATCACAATGATGGATATATAACCCTGTACCCCTACCCTGAGGTGGGGGCGAATAACAGAAACGTGGGTGAAGGGAGACAGTGGACGGTGCACGATACGAAAATAACAATAATAATATATAATTGATCAAGGGGGCACAAGGGGGTTAGGGCAGGGGAGGGAGGGGAAAAAAGAGGAGCTGATACCCAGGGCACAAGAAGAAAGAAAATGTTTTGAAAATGATGTCAACAAATGTACAAGTGCGCTTGACACAACTGGCTTATGGATCACTGTAAGATCTGCAAGAGCCCCCGATAGAATGATTAATATAAACAAATACCAAAGCCCATACACACACACACCACCCCCCCAAAGGGAAGCTGTGCTCTGTGCTGCAGGGGTCTGTGAGTCAGAATGCACCGCAGTGCGTCTGCGCCGGTTTTCACTGGGAGACGGGCAGGGGCAACGGCTGCACAAGAGGAAACCGGAATCCATGGCCCCGATTGCACATGTGAAACAATGTAGAATCAGCAAGTGAGTTTGTCGTGGCGATATTTTACCACAACGAAGCAAACCAAGAGCCATGTCTCATGGAAAGGGCTTCCTGCCTCCCTCCCCCCTGCCCTCCCCGGTCTTTGTACATACACACACACACACTCGCTCGCTAGCTCACTCGTGGTTTTCACGGCTGCAGAAATGAACTCAGGGAGTCTTGCTGAATGGCAGTAGACTCGGTTTTACGCAGACAGCATTGCTCCTGTTTGGAAGCATTTGCAAAACAGCAGAGTCCATCATTTTCAGTGGTTCGTAACGAAAGGCCCAGTTCACTGGGAACTACTCTGCACGTCCGATGGCCGGAGAAGGCAGGGCGTGGTGTGAACAGAGGGAGCCACTGCCCCTGAGCAGACACCACTAAGTGGGGAGGGCAGGCCAGCTGTCCCCCTCATTCCAGGGCAATCTCTTGGCCCCCTTTCCTCATCCCTTTCCCCTGTCGCACCCCAAGATGTGAGTCACCCCACTGTTGCCTGGTCTTCCCCTGAACCGTGGCTTACACACCCAGATGCTGCGGGGTCTCCCAAATCCTTTACAACAGCGCTTCTCACCTGTGGGTCGAACGACCCTCTCACAGGAGTTGCCTAAGATCATCGGAAAGCACATAAATAGTTCACAATATATAATTGTGAATTAATCACTATGCTTTAATTATTTAATTATGTTCATTTTGTAACAATGAAAATACATCCTACATACCAGATATTTACATGATGATTCATAACAGTAGCAAAATTACAGCTATGAAGTAACAACGAAAATCATTTTATGGTTGGGGGTCACCCCAACATGAGGAGCTTTATTAAAGGGTTGTGGAATTAGGAAGGTTGAGAACCACTACTTTACAGCAAGAACAAAACGGTATCTACGGCCCAAACAATGTGACCACAGCCCCACTGGAAGCAACAATAGAGGTGAGGCGAAACCGTTCTCGCCTTGTCTACGTATCACTGCAGGGAGCCCTGACGTGGACAGTGAAGCACACGTGTGTAAACACATAAAGAGGTCTACGAGGGGGTGCCCCCAAACCTGGAAAAACTCCGCTGAAGTGATGGGGATCGTGCATTTGGAGTTCATTTCAGACTGTTAATCAGGCTTCCTATTTAGAGGTTCTAAAAAGATCACATAACAGTGTGTGTGTGTGGGGGGGTCTGATCTGTGGCAGGCGGGGGACTGGTTTTGCCACCACAACAATGCACCTGCTCACAGCCATCTCAGGCGCCACGTTTGCCCTTCGCACCCGACTCACCTGACTCCGCTCCATTTGACTTCTTTTTGTTTCCATGAATGAAGAGGGGCATGAAAGGACAGCGATTTGACAACATAAAAGAGGTGAAGGAATAAACGAGGGAGGTGCTATCAGCCATCCAAACAGATGAGTTTGGAAAATGTTTCCAAGAATGGAATATCAATTTGACAAATGTATTAAGTGTGATGGAGAATACTTTGAAGGGGATATGTTTTATAAAAAATAATAAAAAATACGAAGCTTTGAAAAAAATCCATTTTGGGGGTGGGGGGGGGTGGGGATATATCCCCTCTGGCATGTCAAGGAAATGGCTCACATCATTACAGGGGAGGGTTCTGAGTCCACGGGTCAGATGGCAGATGTCTGGCTGCAGAGGCAAATGGTCCAAGGCTGCAGGTCAGATGGCAGGAGGCTGATGGCTCCCGGGAACGGCAGGCCTTACACAGAAGGCTACTGGCTCAAGTCCCAAAAAACAGAGAATGGCAAGCCAGATGTCGAATCCAGTCCCATCAAAAAGCAAGCAAGCTTCCTGCTGAGCCTACTTATATTGGAAGTACATCCCACCTCCAAGGAGCTCACCACGCGGGATTAGCAGGGCTTAACTGCCACACCT